ATATATATATATATACAAAAAAAAAACTATTCTAAAAATCCCTTATATTGAAATAAAAAAATTTCATATATTTTTTTTTAAAGTTTTAAAGTTCTTAATCAGACGTAGAAAATCATTCTGTATCGAGTTATCATCAAATTAGACAAAAATTATTTACAAGTAAATTTCTTGAAAATTTTATTCTCAAATAATATGTACATAGAATATCTATTCATTTATTTAAGATGACATACCACACAATAAAATTTGATAATTGTAAGATCTCGATATGAATTTCCATAACTTAAGAGCTTATTTAACTTAAAAACAGAATAGTGAATTCTAGTTGAAATTAAGCATTCAAAATTAAAATATACTTGCCCAGAAAGCGATAAAAAGTTATATTAAATCAACACAAATGATATTATTTCAAGTAATTTGGATGATTCTTTATTGTTGTTCTCCGTATTAAATTAATACAGAACTATATACTATTCTATAAAGAAGAAGAATATTCTATATCTATTACAGTTCTTCACGTTCTGAAATCGCATTTATTCATTGGAATGAAGTAAGCAATGTTAACCAATATCAGTGAAGTAGGCCTTTAATTTATAATGAATTGAAGACAAAATAAATGTATTTTACCTTAATACACACATCTTTATCAGTATGCGATCACGAAATCGGAATTATCGGTTGCAAGTTTGTTGATAATGGAAAGGGAAAAATTATTGAGAAATTATTCTTCAAATGTTGGACGCGTTCTGTATCCGAATGATTATCAATCTTCTGGGTGTCTGGGTCGTTTTTTAGTTTTTCAGGGTGAGGGAAATTTTGCTTCCTATTTGTTGTTAAAAAAAAGGGGGTTCTTATCTACCAATGATTCAGATAGAACTAAACAAAAACTTGCCTGAAAATATTGTCCCCGTTAGAGGGCGTATTCAAGCGTTGCGATCGCGAATAGTCATATTTTTGTTTCCTGCTGTCACGCGTCGATTTAAAGCAAATTTTTTTCTTCATTAATTTAAAAAGCGATTTAATTTTTTAATTATTAAAATTATTAATTATTTAATTATTAAAAATTAATTGAAATTATTGAAAATTATGAATTATTAATAAAAATTACTATTTTGGAATTATGGTTTTATTTATGCACTTTGCCACAGTGTGTAAAGGTAATGAAAGTTACAGCAGTAATCAAGATTTTAAGTTTTTTAATTGTTCTGCGATTGTGCTCTGACATTTTGCTTCTGAATATGAAATTATTAATATTTTAAAAATGCTATTTATTAAAAATTTTGCAAATATTTTACTTTAAATATAAAATACTAACTTATTTACAGAAATTTGAATAATTTTAAAAATAGGATTGGTAAAAAGATAATGCTAAAAAAAAGGTTAAGAAACTTTCCTGGGTGATGTACGCTAATTGTCTTGAGACAGAGGTAAAATTACTGAATTCGTATGATTCTGAATAACTTACTGAGTTACTGATTCACGTTCATACATTTTATACAATACATTTACAAGCAATACATTTTCTGTTGTAGCCCCTGATCACTATTGTCATGGCTCTTTTTACCGTAAACGTAGACAGCTTGAATTTTAAATTACAAGAAATGCATTTAAAGGCCGCCTTTTCATCACGCGACACGATACCGACAAAATAAACCCGATTCTCACCTGAGGATACCGGGTCTAGAAAAATACATTGTAGATGCATATGCCTTTTAACACTCACCGATACGCTATCATTTATGTCTGCTTCGACACAACCAAATCGTTTATGAAAATGACGTGTCCATTAAGTACCCACGTTTATGAAAATGACGTGTCCATTAAGTACCCACGTATCCCACGAAATAGAAACAATATTTTTTTTCCCTTTTGTATTTGCTTTTACTCATTTGTCTCATATTTTACTAAGCAAAACAGTCCCAGTTGCAATTAACTCGTAATTGTTCATTTTTGAACTTAGAAACTGGTACTAAAAAAAAAAAAAGAATTTAATTACTCATAATCATATATGGCAACGTTACTTTTAAAAAGTAACGAGTAAAAGTACAAGTATTTTTAAAAAAAGTAACGAGTAAAAAGTAAAAAGTTCTTATTTTAAAAAGTAACGAGTAAAAAGTACAAGTTAAAGTACAAGTACTAAACAAAAAAAGTAACGATTTAAAAGTACATTTCTAGGAAATCGAAAATTCAAAGTTACCTAAAATTTCATTGAATAATATTCTTATGTTCTTTAATGTTTTTGCAAAATTGTTGTTATTTATTTAATTATCTTTAATTTTGAAAGTTATGGATATTAATTTATTTTTAAATTCGCAAGAATATTATAATATAATTTTATAATGTAATCGTATAATATAATTTTAAAATCAAATATAATTTTAATATCAAACTTTTTATGGATTTGCACGAAAAAGAAATTTTATTTATTGACTTTAATTTTTAGTTTATTATTTTTATTTAATTAAATTACCATTGATTTAAAATTGTTTTACTCTTTAGAAACGCGTTTTAAAAACACAAACATAAACAAAGCAAACAGATAGCTTTGTGATCTTTGAGCTAGTAAAAAATAATTGAATGTGTAGTATAAGTTGAAATAGAAGGTATTTAAACACGAAGTTAGCTGTGAATGCATATATATTGCATTAACATTTTTTTTTTTTTTTTTTAAGAAAGTTTACCGAGTTTTAGAAAAAAGTAACGATTTCATTCGATATTTCCGTTACAAATACTTTTACTTTTTCCCTAAAAAAGTAACGAAAGTACAAGTAAAAGTACTAAATTAAAAAAGTAATGAAGTACAAGTAAAAGTACGTACTTTTTACTTGTACCGGCGGTACAAGTAACGAAAGTAAAAGTACTGCCATGTATGCTCATAATTTATTATTCAATTTGCTTAAAATTGTTCTTTAAATTTCTGATAAGGCCAAAATTAATGTAAAAATACATAATATGTTGTCAGAAAGGTTATTGTTTACAAGTTTTTCCATTTATAAAAGCGACGACGAAAATTACTACGAGTAAAACTTCTTTATTTTCAACTTTTACTCTTCAATTATTCTCGTTTCATAAACATAGGTGGAAATACTACAAAAGATTGTGTTTCTTTATAAATAGTATAGAATAAATATAGTTTGTCTATAAAACAAACTCCCCTCACCCCTAATTTTAAGGCCGTTTGTTGCTATGGGAAACACGAATTAGTGCCTTTTAGAGTGAAGCTTCTCTCATACCCGGATTCCCTTTCTTTCGCCGCCCCAAGACGAAACCTGTTTTAAATATTGACTCAACTTGAAATAGTTAAACTTTGTAACCATAGTCGCCGACACTGCTCCAGATGAATAACGGGGGAAGTTCTTTCCATTGACAGTATGTCGTGAAAAATTGTTAAGAAAATCATTTTATTTTATTCAACTATCTAAAACTCTTCACATAAGGTTTTAATTATGACATTGTTTAAAAAATCACAATTCACATTCATTGATCAGCAGTACTTTCTTTTTTTTTGCGGCTTAAGAAAAAGGCATCAGGCAAATGCAAAAAGAGTCTGCCGTACCATTGTGTCGTCGTATAATGTATGAAAAAGTGCTCAGCTAAAAGTACCATTCAAGCATTGATTTCGGAATTCCTTTTATGTGTTATGGATGAAGTTAGTTTATTAGAATTTCGGAATTCCTTTTATGTGTTATGGTTGAAGCTAGTTAGGAGATAGAGGATTATAAGTAAAATCTACATATGGCTTTGATAGTGCCTTCAAAATAAAACTGAAACTTTTTTAATTTCTGAACATTCGATTTTATTGGGACTATAGACTGATGAAAACTGTTTTGTTTGACACTTTAGCCATTTCTTTTTAAGTGTTATTGTTTTCCATTAAAACTTTGTTTTTGTCATTAAATCGAATATTTTTCTTTTGAATGAATCAAATCAATTTGGAAACACGACCAATTTGGGAACATGAACTTTGGTAATGAGAAACCTTCGTTACTTTTAATTTGTTTTAAAATCCCCGTAACATGTTTTTACTAGAAATATTTTTAAAAAACCATTAAAACGGGATAAATTGTTGCAAAGGATTGTCTCCACTTCTCCAAAAGCTGAAGGATACTTAGTCTCTGATGCCAAGGGATGAAATGGTAATAAATAAAACCAACACTGAATTTATGTAAGAATGAAATATTTAGTCAAAATCAGTGTATCTCTCTTTTTTTTTCAATTGATGAAACAAAGAGACATCCATAATCTTTTTCAATACAAAATCGTATCGTCACCTGAAATAATAAAATAACAATAAGAATAGTTATAATGATGAGCACAATCAGGGCTTGGTGCAATGTAATGATAAGCCACATTTTCCAATTAACCAGCTGAGAAGTTTTTAGTGAAAACACATTATTTCCAAGAAGACAATAAAATATTACCGTGTGTGTTATCCAATAGAAACTTCGGAAACATTGAAACTGGAAATAACACAATTGATGTTCGGAATTCGGATGAAATGATGCTCTTAATTGATGTTCGGAATTCGAATGATGTTCGGAATTGATGTTCCGGATGGAAATAATACAATTGATGACCTTAAACATTGCCTTTGCAAAAGTGTGGCTTATTATTATACTGTCCCAAGCTTTTCAAGCATTACTTATTAAGGTTTATTACTTGTCTGATGTATTCAGCTTAAATTTTCTGGAAGAACCAGCAGAGTGTCTTACATAGAGATAAATACTGTACAAGATAGCGGATGTAAGACAAATGATGGCTATCAATCTGAAAGCTGCTCTCCCGCCAAAGGAATCCATAACTAAGCCTCCAATTAAACTGGCTGTAGTTTTACCTTAAAAAATGAATTAAATTAAGTTAAAAAGAAGGCCACCTGCTTTCTTATCATCATCATAATCATTTATTTATTATTTTTAAAATTAACATTATAAAACAGTCTAACTACGAGTTATACAGAAAAACTGGTATACAAACGGCATAAAAGATGAAAACTCATTTACAAATTTATGCAATATGAACTCAAAATTCATGCTAACATATTTACAGTGAGGAGGAGAGTGTGCGAGATATATGTTTAAATTAACATTATATAACAGACTAACTACGAGTTATACGGAAAAGCTAATATACAAACGGCATAAAAGATGAAAACTCATTTACAAATTTATGCAATATGAATTCAAAATTCATGCTAACATATTTACAGTGAGGAGGAAAGTGTGCGAGATATATGTTTAAATTAACATTATATAACAGACTAACTACGAGTTATACAGAAAAACTGGTATACAAACGGCATAAAAGATGAAAACTCATTTACAAATTTATGTAATATGAATTCAAATTTCATGCTAACATATTTACAGTGAGGAGGAGAGTGTGCGAGAGATATATTTGTTGGCTGCCGGCAGGATTCGAACCAAGGACCGCTGTGGTAGTATTCGGATGCTCTAACTTTTTCTTTTAAATTAAGATAATGGTTTGGTTGTCTTCACAACAAATGAGTTATAGGCCCAATGAGATACACACAATGGATTTTATTTTTTCCCCCAATGATTTAATACTACATTTTAAAAATATTACTAAATATTTTGTTTAGTCAAAACTTAAATTGAACTGATGAGATTTGCAATAAAATGCATAAGTAAATGAAAATAAAGAAAATGGAAAAGAAGTAGCTATTTTTGAATATTTTCACTCATTTTGTCGATTTATTTGTTAAAATTTCTAACTACATATTTCATTACAAGATTATTTTCTTTTTCAACTTCATCTCTTTCTGAAGAATAATAAATAGATTTAGAAACTTGATAAATTAAAAGGGAATTGGGAAATTAATCTCAAGAAACTAAAGCGGTAAGAAATCACCTGATAAACTTCATTCGCTTCATACATTTATAAATAGGAAATAATAGTCGACATGTTTTACGAACTTCAAAAGTGAACGATTATTTTTAGAGTGCTTGAAGTACGTCGACTGTTATTTCCTATTTGTATATTTTTGAAACGAACGAAGTTTTCAATTTGGTAAAAGTGGAAACGAAAAAAAAAATATGTAGATTTTTATTCAATTACTTTTGTTTTGTTTGTGATGGGCAATTTTGATTTTTTTTATCACTTAATTTGTATTTAGATTCATGAAGTTATTTTTCCCCAATTAAATCCACAGAACGGAATTCGATCAGAATTTGTTTTCTTCTTTTTCAAAAAAGAAAGTAAAATTAAAATGTTCTAAATTTAAAATGCATCGAAACAGAGGGAGCAGACAATTTTTTTAAAAATAAATTATTACTAATTTATTTTCATTTGTTTTTATACCACCTCGCAGTAAATTGAATTAAAAAATTTTGCCTTCGAATTCTGACACTGATCGCTACGCGGCCCGACCTACAAAGCAATGCCAATCAGTATCTTAATCAATAATTTAACTTTTTGAACTGTTGTTTCAGTTTAAACTCAATTGAATAAGATAAAATTTAACTTAATATGATAAAAAATAAGATTAATTAGTTCAATATGATAAAATTCATCTGATCTCAAGATAATAAAACTTTTGAACTGTTATCATCATGTGTAGGCATTTGAACGTTGAGCGCATTTAATGAACATTTTATCGTTTTTAAATTTGTATTTTTCGGGCCATAGCTCAACTTTCTGCTTGCAACATATTTGTTGATTTGACATTAAAACATATTTCATCAGTTTCACAATGTGCCAATCATTTTCATGCAATTTTCAAATTTGTATTTGATATAAATTTTTTCTTATATGCAAAATATTATCAATGAGACATTTGTTTTTTAAATGTCGATTCTTCATTAATATACAGATAAATACCACTTACCAAAACTAAAATGCAAAGCTCCAGCCACAGCAACAACGGTTGCTCTCGTTCCGTCAAGTGCAAGTTCATGACTATGTTGCACAACAGCAACCCATAACAGGTAATATGTAAAGCCTCCAAAAGCTTCTAAAAACAGAGAGGTCCATGGATTTAGAATAAAAGAATAGCCTGCAGTTTTCATGGCGTAGCTGATGAAGGCAATGACGATCAAATGGGATGAACCAACCCTTTTAATCCACCAATTAGATGAAATTAGAAATGGCAATCCATACAAGGCACTTATAGATGGAATAAGACCAAGTAGAAGACTCGATGCATTTAACTCTTCCAAATACCAAAACAAGTATATTTTTGTAAAATTCCAAGCCGTGCCAAGGAACAGAACTACAGCAGCCAGCGACAGAATATCTGCCTTTTTCAGAAGACTAAAAGTTTGTTTCAGCATATTTTTACTCGGAGGAGTAATACATTCTCTAAGCTTATAAAGAAAAATTAAAACTAAAATTAATAATCCAATAAAAAAGTATAAAGCTGCTACGTAGTTTTTTCCACCATTTTCTTTAGTTGTTACGTTTACAATCACGCCCGCGAGTGGCGATATAAACATGTTGCCAGAAATGGCAAAAAAACGTTCGTGTCCAAATGATTTATCATATTCTTTAACCAGAGACATAGCTATGACATCAAAGCAGCGAAAAACATTCGAATATGTGGTTAGAAATAAAACATATGTCACGATATAGCCTGCGAGTAAAAAACTGTTAAATTGTTGTATTTCACAATCATCTCCTGTACAAGAGATTTGGCAGCAGGAACTTTCCATGTTTGAGCAAGTAAAATTGATAACTGATTTTGTAAGCATTGCTTGAAGATCAAAGTAACAGCTATTATTAAATTGTAAATTTATGGTTTCATTGTTAGTTGGTAATATTAGTTTACGATTCTTTTTAAGTACTTCCAAGCATGGTAAACCAGATGAATTGTAATTTTGGTCTGTAACTTTAGGGCAAGTTACAAAGCATTCCTGTAACTTGAGTTTGCAGTGATCTAGCTTTATCGGACGATAATCCCCTGCGACAGAACAATTAATGTTGATTTGTTGAGATGTGCACGAGGTATTATCAATCATTGACGGCATTAAAATCAGAGAAGTTATCAAAACAATCACAATTAAAATGTTCGTAACAAGAACTGGTTTTGATTTCCCTAATTTATCAGCTATAATTCCTGTTATAATAGTACCAATAATTTGAACAATCGGGCCAATAGTGTTCATCCATGAAAACTGGGACAGGGTGACGCCACGTTGTTTCAGTAGCACTGTGATAAATGCTACAATGAAAGAACCAGCTAAAAAAAGATAGAAAAATAAAAGGCTATGTTATGTGTCGTACAAATTGCATTTTTCAAATGTCTGAATCACAATAATAAAATCTCAATTACTTTTAATTGGTAGAATCAATTCTCATGTATGGGAATTTTATAGATATAAAAAGAAGCAAACATACCTCCGAACCAACAAAATTGAGCTAATTTTAAAGGAATCAATGGCTTGAAAATACATACTTTATGATTTTTATAAAAGTATATTGTAAAGGTTTCGTCTTTCTGAAAGAAAAAAAAAATTTTTTTTTTAAATAATTTTTGCATTTATGTAATTTTTTCCTATAAGTCATATTACTTTCATAGGAGTTTTAACCTTTTATATTAATTGAGAGATTTTAATGGTTTATAGAACTTTTTGATGTTTTAGAATATTTCGTATTTTCCAGCTTTTAGTGAATAAAAGTTTAATGTTTAAAGCTTAAGAAAAATTAATGCGTTTTGATCTTAATTTTATATGAGGTATGCAAATAATAGTTTTAAAAAAATGAGGAATTTTATATATCTATATCTATCTATCTATCTATCTATCTATCTATCTATCTATCTATCTATCTANTAACACGTTATATATATATATATATATATATATATATAACTTGTGCTTCTCAATGCCACCGTGTGGGTATATCTGAGTAAAAGACGCGGCAAATGTGATTGCTGCGTCTGCTGTTTCACTTATGTTCTCGCCATCCTTTGTTAATCTAATATATACAATCGCTTAAAGCTCCTTATAGCCCATTACTTTGAGCATTTCATACCTTTTAAATTTAAAACAAGATAGCTAAGGTTAAAGCAAAACGGAGCTATATCCCATTTCGAGTAACCTCAATGTGTCCCACATTGCTCTGCAAGCAGCCATACAAGCAACTTAGGCCTAATTAACAAATTGCTTTTAATAAAGCTCTAATCTTTCTTTCAGTTTGTTGAGGAAAAACATTCTTTTTAGCATGTGTAGAATGTCGCGTTAGTGTGTGTCTGTATGCAAATCTAATAATTAAATTATCCATACAATACGCTCACCTTAGATCAGGGCATTAAAAAAGTAATAAATCTTGAGAGCTTGTTTGTCTGTGACTCCTCAAGCAATATTCCATTTAGAAATGAACACCAGAAACGTTATAAGCAATTTACAGTAATGATTTACAGATTGCAGTAATCTTTAGCTAGGATTATCGAAAATTTCATTTTGCAGACCCTTTCCTTCAAATAGCAGTAGAAACTTCATAATCGTAAGAACAACACTGAAGTCCATTACTGTCCATTACAGTAAGTAGCTCAGAAGCTTTTATAGTATAAATTAAGAAAATGGTTAATTTTTCGTGATAAATCTTTTATTGTTATGAATATTAAAATGCTTATGTAAATGTTATGTTTGTTTTAATAATGTTATTTTAATGTTTATTTTAATAAATGTAATGTTATGTTTTATGATGCATATTAACTTTTAGTTAAAGCACTCAAATAAGTAATGTTTAAAATATTAAAATAAAAAGTATTTACTTTGTTATTTTTATTATTTATTGCAGGAAACTTCGGAGAATCTGGAGAATCTGTATAATAAAATGACTTTTTTATATCAGTCGTCAGAGTGTATATCCTATTTTCATCAGTTTCAGTTGAAGACTTTTCATTATCATGCATTTCACCCTGAAAAATGAAATTAATTTGAAATATGAAGCAGATCTAGTATTTGATATTTTGCTATTTATTGGCTTTTTGTTACATTTTTTTTTGATAAAATATCTTCAAGAAAATTTATCATGCATTTTTATATTTTCATTTAAATTTTGATACTCGGAAATATTTTCTAAAAATTTAGTGATTAATATTTGCTTGCAAAATAAAGTTAACCTGACAATTTCGGGTTCATTAATCAAGTGAGAGATTAGGTATGCAAAACATTTGATAATTAAAACATAAGAAGCTAACATGAATTAACATAGCCATTTGAGAAAAAAAAATTACAATATGCATATTAATACTGGGTAAAATTTGCAAATATTCTCGCATTAAATTGTTGAAGAATGACATTTTTAAAACTTAAAAGTTATGAAGAAAGAATTAATTTTAAAAAACAGGAATTCTTCAAATGAAATTTGTTTTCATAAATTTATATATAAAACAAATAGATAAAAAAATAACGTAAGTAATTGTACCCAATGTGAAAATTTGAATGCAATCTATATATATATTTCTCTTACACGGCACCAAACACGGCACAACTTTATGTTGGCCTGTCAAGAGTCAAGTCATTTGACGCCTTTCAGTAATTGCTCCAAGATGCCAAATCTATAATTGTGTTTTCAAAGTAATTCTAAATGCTTAGTGTTAATTTCTTAGAGCTTTGTACAAAAAAATGTTTTTTGGAAAAAATTTTATTGCTTATTTTGTTCTAAAATGTTATGTACTTTATCACAAATGTTAATTAATATAGAAATTGATGCTGATCACCAAAAAATATTTCATTTGGCGATAAAACAAATTTTTGTGTTCTTGAAAATGAAAGACTTTTTGAGGGTTTGAGGGTTATTATCTCACAAGGAAAAGTTAGGGTTTAAAGTTTATATTTTTAAATTATAATTTTTTTTCTAAAACTTTCAGAATTTCTAGCATTATCTAATTTATTATACACATTTAATTGAATTTAGGTGAGTAACTGCAATATTTGATAATTTATTTTGCTAATATGTTTCTCATTTAGATAATATTTTGATTTTTTCACCATGTACAATCTAAATAGCTAATATACTTTTTTAAAAGCCAATAAGAACATTGATAGAATTCTTCTACATAAGTACAATACTACGTCTTTGATGATAATATACTATGTCTTTGTGCTAGAACATTGTGTTCCTTGGCGGGCGAGCGCAGCGAGCCATAACCACATAGGATTGCGTAGCAATTCTCGGGGGTTGGCGAGCGTCAGCGAGCAGGGGGCGGAGCCTCCTAGTAAAATATAAATGATTTATTTATTTATTAATGCTAGCGTAACAACAGAGGTTTGTAAATATGCTGTTATGAATTTCTGTCTGACCAACAGAGGGCGCTGCATTTTTTACAAATTATGATTATGTATCACTTGTATAGCAGTCAACGAATCAGTATGGAATGGAAGGCTACACTATAAAAATTCAGGATCAAATTACGGCAAAAAGTACCGGTACTCAGGATGCCTGCACTTTTTACCGTAAAATCAATTTATTTTTACTGACACATGTTATTAAAAAATCTGATATACAGTAATTATGTAATATAATTACGTAAATATGTAACGTAATGCATATTTACGTAAATAAGTAATTTTTATAGAAATATTTACCGTAAAATCACTGAATCACTCCATTAAAAAAATATTACAGTAAAAATTACGGTATAATATTTCACACACACACAAAAAAAAGTATTTCACGGTACATCAGATCATTTTCCGAGTAACATGCTCCTATAAAAATGGATTTTAAGGTTTAAAAAGTACCGGTACCCTGAGTGCTGGTACTTTATACCGTAATTTGAACCAGTATTTTTACACTGTAGGCAAGCATAATAATATTTAACGATTATATCTCATTATAATTGTCTGTTTTATTGTCTATATTTATTAAATTTAATTGCTATTAAATTGTGGCCTTTTTAAACATAGCACCATTCTTCACTGAATAATTTTGCAATGCATGCTTTTTCAAATTATACTGTAAATCTGTTTATAAGGTTGAAGTTGTAGTGAATATGTTGTAAAGAATAGCAATTGAACAATATGTATTGTACAATTTGTAGTGTTAATGTTGTAGGGAAGTTAAAGTTACATTTAATTGATGTTGCAAATTTTTTTAAGTTGAGTATTGTAGATAAAATGCTTGCTTTACTGTATTTTCTTCTAAAACATTTAAGACTTCAAACAAATAAATAACTATTAGTAACAATTTTTTAAAAAATACTGCATGAATTCTACAAGAAATCAAATTTGTAAATAATATAGAATTAATGCGTTAAAATTTAACAATAACTAGAGCATTAAAAATTTTAAGAAATATTTCATTTTCAAAAAGGTTACATGTTAAAGAGGCATTTCATATGCATATTTTAAAGGCAAAACTCATTGTTACAAGAAATTATAACATTCAAAGTTTTTGAGAAACATGGCAATTTAGAAATAAAAAATTACTTTCAGATAGACAAGTTATCCTAGGTTTTCGAGTAAAATTCATACACTATCAAAAATTCCAGTATAAAGTACCAGCACTCTTTGTGCATCATCTGTAAACTCTACTTTTACCGTAAAATCCGTTTTTAACGTAAAATATTATACCGTAATTTTTACAGTATTTATTTGCTTAGAGTGACTCAATAATTTTACGGTTATAATTACTGCTAAAACTGCAATATATCAGATTTTTGTACCGTAGCATGTTCCTTAAAAATTCACTTTATGTAAAAAATACTGGCATCCTGAGTGCTGGTACTCATCATGTTAATTTATGTAGGTATAAGCATTGCAAGACAATCGTAGAAGACCGAGGTTATATGAAATGTTTTGTACACAATTATTGGAATCAGGAAAATAATAAAGAAAAATCCCACATTATCTTATCCCGTTAATGCCAAACCATAAGAAGTGGTCTACGTATAAGAAAAAGGCCCATATGAAAAAAAGTGCCAGTACATGGGACATTTTGAAAAACTTGTACATATTATGCCCCATTACTTAAAGTAATTTTAATTATTGAAATAAAATTACAAATAGCATTTCTAAGCATTCAAATTAATTTACTATGTGTTTTTAATAAAAGAAATTAGTTCTTTAAGAATAACGTTTAATACATTTTTACTACGTCAAGTGCAGCTAAATGGTTTCTAGAACCGTAAAGGTAAAAAATGTTCTTTACCGTAAACTTTACGGTTAATCGGATGGCCAGACTGCTGCCGGTTATTTTACCATAATTTAAGAATGGAAATTCAAACAGTGTACCTTTCCTGACTATTTATATCTATCTGACCATATTATATCAACCATTTATTAAGTTTTACTTCCCTAAATAATTTAATAAAAAAGCAATTTTATAGATTTTCTGAGTAAATTTAACTAGAGTGTAAGTCTTTTACTGTTTCAGTTAACTTTATTTTATTTTATTTTAATTAAACACTTTTTTTTTATTTGAACACTTTGTTCAAATCAAAGAGTGCACTGCTGTTTTACATTTATGGACAAGAAAATTCTAATTTCAGCTGTAATTTTTATAAATAGTAATTCGAATATTTAGTTTTTAAAGAAAATAGTGTCTCCTTTTGAAAATGACACATATATATGTTTATACTAAGTAGATATTTCTTTCTGTCACTTATCCCTTTAGATTTAAAATAGCAATGTGCTTCAACTTCAGATCCAAGTATAACTTTATATAATTAATACATTAGAACAGACAAAACCTTATAGATTCTGTAAAATAAATCGTAAACTAGAACATTTAAAAAAAACAATGTTTTTTCTTATAATTTTTTTTTGAAGAAAAAGAAATATATTTTTAAAAGGTTGATAGACAAAAATGGATTAGACAATTTATGATATTAGATATAAGAGAAATATTTGAATCATATTACATAAAAATCAAACTTTATAATGACTTTACGCTTGTGTGTTAACAGTAAAAAATATTTTATGATATTATAATAAATAATAAAATATAAATAATATATAAAAAAATTTTTACTGCTTTTTACTGTAAAATTTTTTTATTTCTACTCAAATTGTAAAAGGAATAAATTTTTATTTAAAACATAACATCAAATGCAAAAGTCACATTAAAAAAATACTTAGTTCGAAATGTACAATTTAACATAAAAGTTTATTGATTTCGACGAAAAAATAAAGTTTTATTGATTCATCTAATGATAAAAGTCGTATTTAAAATAATTGAATATGTTTTTTTCCCTTTAAAACAGAGAAAACTCATTGTTAATAATATAGAGTAATAAATTAACTGAATTATTGAAAAATGGTAATTTTATATGTTAGATTAATAATTACCCAACAAGATAATATTTTTATTGCAAAATTATATTCACAACAAGCTTATTTCATGCAAGTGCGAATTAAACGAAGTAATAAATTAATTTATACCGAATTTTTAGTATCACGTCAAGCGTGAAAGGCTAATACCATAAAAAAACGCTTAATAACAATTATTGGAATATTTTATATATGAGAAAAAAAAGTCTGTTTTCTTAAGAAAAATAGATTAACAATCAAAACAAGTCATAGCTATTAAAATTATCGGTAATTTTAACAAAAGTTTAACTTTTTAGCAGTTTAACATTATGCATTATAAGTAAAATTCATTAAAAGTAAGAAAAATCTTATATTAAAATTTGATACAAAAATTCATTTTTTGAAAACAAACTTCATCAATTATAACGTAACATCCAATGCAAAACCCATGCTAAAAATTACATGATTCAAAATATTTAGTTTTATAAAAGTTTTATTGCTTTAGAACATTATCATTATTATAATTTTGTTCATCGAGTGATCTAAAATATATAAGTTGCATTTTCAAAACTGATATTTTTTTTATAAAATAAAGTAAAATATTAAAATATAATAAAAGAGAATATTAATTTTATACCCTATTCCAAAATCTACGACTGCTTTCAACTTCCGCATATGAACATCTGCTCTTTCTGCTCTACGTATGCAAACAATCGAAAGAGGAAGACAATAGTTTGTGTTCGTAAATAATGTGAACGAAATCTAAATATTCTATTCATAATAATAGAATTGTGTGGAATAATGACTGCGAATTCAAAACATTGCAACATCATGTTAAATATAATTATTTAAAAGTATTAATATGATACAAAAAGTTATGTAATCCATTAAGCAAGGAGCTGTTAAAGAGATGTGGAAAGTGCTTTAATTTTTTATTTCGCGCTTTAATTGCTTTTTTGTGTGGTGTTTTTATGGAACATCAAAACAAATGTCGAAGTAAAGTTTTGTTTGACAATGAATGACATGTCGAAATGTTATGGTACAATCGTTTACATAAAACATTCTGTTGTTAATATTTGTATTTTGTATTATATACTTCTTTATTATTGTTTTAATAGCACAAATATCTCTTGGAGACATTGAGGGAAAGATATTTCGATTTTTTATCAATACGTTTTATTTAACCTTAAATTTATATAAAAAATATATCTATATACATAAAAATAATTTATGTAAAAAACAAGTTTTTATGAAAAAAAAATATGTTTATATAAAGTGATTAATAAAAATAACTTATTTGTATATATTTTTTTTTATTTAATTAGTTTCAGCTTTCACAAATCTTAATTTGACTTGCAATCTCAATCACAAAATTTTAATTTGACTAGAAGTCATTGTTATGTCGTAAGTGATCTGCTAGTTTCGGGCCAATTTTTTTTCTTCTGTTTGTTTTTGATATCTTATTTCATAGCGCTAATCTCAGAAATGTTTCAATGAAAATACGAGATGCATAGCTCTTTTCAGCAAAAAGAAAAAAGTTATTAGAATCCATTACTAATCAAAATCCTTAGTTTTTATTGACTGTTTCATGAAAGTCGATTATGCTCTTAATAATTTTAAGCACTGTACAGATAGCTCAAAAATCATAAAAGTTCTACCCAGGGGCAACCTCTTTAGTACCCTATTCTCGAAAGAGGTAAAAAATTGCATTACCTCGCTCATATGGTTTCGACTAAAGCAAAAAGGAGATAAATTGGAATATTGCTGTCTAGACAAATGAGGGATTTTTTCCAAAGTTATTCTTTATTGTGAATGGAATAAAAATAAGCATGATAGATAATAGTTAAAAAGTTATAATTCTTTTATGTTCAAAAAGTGATATGTTTGACTTGTTCGATACAGACATTTGATATTTCTATTTAGGCAAATTAGGGATAGTTTTCTATTCATTATTTTACCCTAAATCAAGTGAAATAAACCTATGATCCAACTACCAATTAGGATATTTTACGTCCGCACTGTGGTTGGTATGAGCCGGAGGCAGAATTCGTATAAACCAGCCACCGCTGGAATTCGAACCTGGATCTTCTATCCCCTGAGTCACCGTGGCACAGACAGAAAGTTTCTCTTCGCAACAATTTCGTAATCTTGCAATCTCTCTTCTACTCTATAAATATTTAAGTTCTTAACTCTGTCCAATCTTTTTATTTCTTGTTATAAGGATGGTACTTCGCAGTTGGGGGATTTTTCACTGTTTAAAATACTTATGTCTTTTGAATATCAAGTTACGACCAAATTTTAATTGACTATTTTGAAGAAAAGAAAGTATTGAAAAAGAAACAGTTTTTTTCGCAACATGAACAGAAATTTCATAAAAAAGGATTTACATGACAAGATCAATAATATTACACGCCCTTCCGATGGCAGTCTTAAAACAATTTAAATTAAAAGTATTTGAATAGTTTATTTCGAATAGTTGTGTACAAGTTCTTATAGTCTGTATATCGTTTATGATCAACTTTGCTTCAGATGATAGCATTTGGTTCAAAGTTCCTGTCTTCATATTTATCTGAAAAAAATTAAAAAAAGAAAATACTTTAAAAATTACAAAAAAATGTTACGTTTATAATTTTTATAAATATAATGAGCCCTAGAAAATTTATGCAAAAATATATGATATATATTACGCAATGTTTAGGCATCAAAACCTTTAATTTAAAAGTTTCCGTTTTAAATTATTTCGTTGTCTCTAAAAAACTTTTATTTTTCCTTCTCTTTTTTCAAGGGAATTATTTTTTGTTCAAGGATTATCCAAAAAAGCCACGTGAATAACAATTATTTAATAAAAAAAAAAAAAAAAANAAAAAAAAAAAAAAAAAAAAAAAAAAAAAAAAAAAAAAAAAAAAAATTGGTAACTGGTATTAAAAATGAGTTTTTATTTATTCATTTATTTTTTCGAAAGCAGAAATATTCAGCGGGTAAGTAGGAGCGAGGTGGGCTAAAATAGACGTATTGAATAGCTTTTCTATTTATAGGTCAAATTTCTTTTTTGAGATATTGTTGATTGGCAACACTGATGCACAGAACGCAAAAAAAGACTACTTTGAATAACTTTCGATCTAATAATCGGATCTATAACCTAATTGTAATGGTTCGAGGTGATCTGAAATATGCTAATTAACTAGAGCTGACAACGTTCCAAAATAAGACGCAACAACGTACTTTCTCTAAATAAACACACCTTTTACTTATGCTGGATTAGACCAAAGTATAGAGAGTAGCTTGGAAATATGAATTGTAAGATATGACATTTCTTTGAATCATTTTAAAGAACATAATTTTATCTGGCAAAATACAAAAAATGAGTGAAATCGGTCGAATAGTTCCTGAGAAATCGAACTTCAAGTGTACGACTTTGTTTTAATTAAGAGTTCTTGGAAATTAAATTCAGTGGGACTGATTTCGTCTTTTGTTATCAAATACGCAGGCTTTAGATGAATGAATCCCTTTTTCTCTCTTTTCTATATCATTGAATGGTCATGATTTAAAATCAATTTTAATCATAAGGTCTGCTATCAGTTTACTTTAACTGTAACTTCTCTGCTTAATATAAAGAATAATCATTATGTAACGGGAGTGCTTTCCAGGGTTAATGACTAGCTACCGATTCAAATGAGAGTTCTTAACTTTTAAATAGCAGCGTAAGTTTATTTACCTTTCTGTGATAAAGTAAACCTCTTTAGATACACATGCCTTGAATAGAGATAAATTGAGTAGCAGATGGCGCAAACGAAACAGATTCCAGCGATGACACGGAAAGCAACTGGTCCACCATGCTTGTTCATCACCACTCCAGCAATCAAGCTTCCCGAAGTCTTACCTGGAATGGAAAATTCAAAATCGTACACTGGTTAAGAATTCCAAATTTTGAACTGAGTTCTAACGATATTGCAATACACAAAATTGGCGAAGGTTGATTTATTTAAGCAGAAATTTATAAAAATGTAACAAATTCGCCATCTGCTTCATTTTTTGAAGCGTAAAACAGTAAGATTTCAATGAAAATTTAGCATAATAGTGAATAATAAATTCGAAGCTTGAAGAAAAAGGTTTCGGGGTTGTTTAGAAAAATCTAGAAAATTGGCATGTTCTAATGCTGCCAAATGGCGATGCGTTAGCTATCCGTGGTTCTAATTGGCGATTAATTTAGAATTTTGGATGGAAAGGTAAAACAAAAATGGAAAGGTAAAAATATAACGAGTGAGAAAGGATCGTTAGAGTAGAGGTACTTGATTAAATAAGTTCTATATGTATATATATTATTTAAAAATAGTTAATGTTTTGACACAACAGTTGTAAAATTTTGAAAAATTTGAAAATATATTGATTTTTACAATACAAAATGATTTCTTTTAATTAATTATTTGTTAAATATCATTTTTCACACATTGTATTCCAGTTTTAAGAACAATACCAAAAAGTATAAATATACTCGTAAATTTTGAACAGATGAAGAAGTTTTCATTTTAAATTCATTCTGAAGTTTTCATTGTAAATGTATGCGACTCATGTCCTGTGATTTGCGCATTATTACATAGGAAAAAGGTGAGTGATATTTTATAATATTAATAGTTATAGTAGATTTCAAGCTGTTATTTTTATTAAGACCCGATGACGAAAAGACATAAAGGAAACCATTAATATGCTTTTAGCTCATTATCTTAAATAGAATTTAGTCAGTTAATTCAGTTTAAAAGCTAGGTATTTATGACTAAATAACTTGAAATATTAATTAAGAGCATATTATTAAGAGTGAAAGATGAAAATTATCTGCATACTGTACTTATGGGAAATCTATATATTACAAGGCAATTAAGAAAATATTTGCTCTATAGCAGGGTATGAAATTGTTGAATTGAAATTCTAATACATTATTGGAAATTTTACATAGTTATAGTTACCTATGTGATAATGAATAGATCCAGCACTGGCTATTACAGTGGCTACCAGCCCTTCAGGAGCTAATTCATGACTTCTTAGGACTACAGCAACCCACAAGAGATGGTAAGTTACAATATTACACGCTTCTAATGCTAATGATATCCAAGTGTTTACTAAAAATGAATACCCAAGTGCATAGATGATATATCCTAGAAGGCCCAGCACAAAGAAGTTTGTTGTTCCAATTTTTCTCATCCACCAATCAGAAGTTAGAAGAAAGGGTAAGCCGTATAAAGCACTTATAGCGGGTATTAGCCCTATAAGAATAGTTGGTGCTTGCATTTCTTCTAAATACCAAAATAAAAACTTTTTAGTAAATGTCCAGCATGTCCCAAGAACAAATACTACCAAAGCGAAGGTTAGTACGTCTGGGTTTTTCAACAGAATTAACGCTTTTTTCATCATTTGTTTTCCTGGTGGTTTGATACGAACATCCAATTTATAAACAACAAGAAGAGCAAATATATTCAAGGCAATAAAAAAGTATAAAGCAGTGGCATAGTTTTTCTCTTCTTCGAGAGTAGTGGTGATTTTGACTAGATACCCTGCTATCGGTGATATAATCATATTGCCAGCTATTGAAAAGAAACGTTCTTTTCCGTAATTGGAATCATGCTCGGTTACCAAATACATTGCTGTAACATCCAAAATGCGGTACGAGTTTGAATATACCACCATCAAACATACATAAAACATCATTGCTACTTTGCTTAATATACTTCTTTGGTTTTCATCGTAGCAAATTTTGGAGGATTTTACCTCACACTCAACATTACAATTCACGTCGTTTAAATTGCACTGACACATCGATAAATTACTAAAAGCGCAAATATTAGTGATTTGAATAGTTTCGTTCGCTTGGTATTCCAGAAAAAGTGGTGAAATATCCGAAGATTTAGCCATTTTGTTGCGTTCTCTGCACGTGTTTGTAAAATTAGTTAAACAGTTAGTGTTACACGCATTCATTCCTTTCAATGTTTCTCCGCAGTTTGAATTAGTAGCATTTGAAAGTTGCAGAAGAGAATCGCATTCGATATTTAAAGTTCGATCTTCGCAGTCGGTGTGTTTTGGTCGAGGCACTGAAAGAATGCAAGCAACCATAGCAATAGTAAGTACTAGATTAGCTACTAGTACTGGCTTCGAGCGTCCTATTTTGTCTGCTACGATTCCAGATAGCAAAGTTCCACCAACTTGAAAGATTGGTCCTACAAAATAGGAAGTAGACAATTCGGTAAGTGTCACACCACGTTGCTTGAAATAGACTGTTATAAAGGGTGTAAGAAATGATCCGGCTGAAATGAGAAAATAGTAATTAGTAACTTTTAATAACTTCAAATTCTAATATTATTTTTCATCATTTTCTATTCTTAGGATTTAACATTTCCTTGAAGTTGATAAAGCAACACAATTTTTTTTATTATTATTATTTTTTTTATTTGACTTCGAACATTCGACAATATATTCTTAAATACTTAAAATTTATGTTATGACAATGAGCATCACATATGCAATTAATTCGAATAATTTTTAATTGGTGTTTTTCAAATAATATTAGTAGACCGTATAATATTTTCAATGAAGCAAATAAAGAAAACTAGAACTGTGTAAAATGTTCCATGTGTAAGTGTTCCATAATGTTGAATTAAAATATTGAGACTGTAATATTTATTAATCATTATTTCTTAGTGTAATTTCCAAATTAAGAGTTTCAAAACTTAAAGCAGTGTTTTATTATAAAGTAATCCAATATTACTACATTATTATGCTATATTTATAATAAACGTATTTAAAAGCATACGCAATTTATTAATTGTTTTACAATCATTAAACAGTTAAAAATTTACTTTGCATTTTGAAATGAATAAATGTTTCTAATTTTAATAGAATTTTTCCTTGCAGATAAGATATTTAAATTTTAATTTTTTATAATTTATTTCCTTTTATTTGCATTTGGTTTAGTGCAGAGAAAATTTTATTTCCTTTAAACCCTAGAAACAGCATTTGTTTTTGAATTAACTTTTTTTCAAGATTCAAAAATTACATAACAAGGATGTCATTCCAGAGCATCATTTCGGCTGTCATTTTTATTTGCGAATTTTAAACATCTTAGTTGCAACACTTAGCCTCTTACAAAAGGTGCATTCGATGCTATTCATTAATCCCCGGTGGCTCAGGGGATACAACGTTCGCCACCCAATGACGTGACGCTGGTTCGAATTTCAGATGCCACTAGTTGATACAAATTCTGCTCCCGACTCGCACCAACCGCAGTACTGAAGGGAAATATCCTCAGTGGTAGACGGATCGTGGATTAGAATCCCCTTACCATCGGGCTAAATGTGGAAGATTTTCATACTTTTCCTCTCCATGTAACGCAAATGCAGGTTAGTTCCATCGAAAAATCCTCCACGAAAGTTAGTTCGTCCAAATATTTAATCCGTGGTCTTCTGGATTGGGTATAAAATTACAAGGCTAAGGAGTTGAACATTGACAGTTGTAAACTTAGAATTGGGTCGACTGTTCAACACCGGTTATAAAATAAAATACTATTCCTTTAGAAACAGATTCAATATATAAATTATTTCATGTAATTTTTTTCACACAGAAAAACAAAATGAAAATTTCTTTTTTTCCACATCAATATATCTTCCACAAGCATAAATCCGTCAAAATGGAATTGTCAAAAGATAATAATTTGATATAGTAGGATTACACTGAGTACTCTGTAAAAGGGGCGTACGCAAGGGAGGGGTTTAGGGGTTTAAACACCCCCCTTGAGCTCAGACAAAATGGCAAAAATAGAAATTTTAGTAGAAATTAAGCGGGCTATTATTTTTTAAGACTATATATTTTTATTTGCCTTATGCCTACTTTTTTTTCTCACGGTATTTCTCACTGAAAAAGCATTTACTATAATAGAGTTGTACTTTTGAAACCAAATTCGCGAGATACTGTTACGTGCTATTTCCTTTCTGTCCTGCCAGTCGCGATAGTTTTCGAGATAGGCAGTCATTCGCGAGGTCTTTACGCGATGATTCTGGAATCCTAGACGTTCTGTCGTGTTTGAGACAATTCGAGAATTTTGAAGATGCGGTGAAAAATTATATAAAAGGGGGAACGGAGTACAGTGGAGTTAGTTAGTCAGACTAAGAGTTATCACTGCCGCTTGTCTTTCGGAGCTCGTCGCTAAATCTGTTTCGTTTTGTCTTAACAAAAAGTTAATTCAATCGCCGAACCCGTCGTCGCCACTATTTTGACTAGTGAAGAAATCAATAACAATACCATTGGAGATACTGTGCTCGTTGAAGTTATTTATTCCCGCTCGAAACTTTGAGATCGTAGCATAGCGGATATTTCTATGCCAATAAATATATGTATATATTTGCTGTTCTTGGATCTTTAGGTTGCCAAAACGCAAGAATTTAACAATTTTTAATCATTCTGAAAAAAAAATCACGACCTGAAGTGAGTGATGTAACAGCATCTGGTACCAATGTAAGTTTTTCTATTGAACAGAAATGTTATACTTCCGTTGAAGAAAACGTTTCTAGCATAACAAAATCTGATGAATGTGAAAGTGGCCCTCAAAGTGTTACTTCCCACCCATATGACATTGGACTTTTTTCAGAAGATATTACATGCGAGAAGATATTACACTATGTTCTTAAACTTAAAAAATCAAATCAAGATTTAACTACACAATGCTGTCTAAATAAAAGTCAAAATTGTTAGCTGTCTAAATTAGGGAAATAATAGTGCTTTATTACATACTCGAATTTCTTTTAGTAATTTCAGAAAATTATGAACTCCCCCCTTGAAAAAATTCTGCGTACGCCACTGCTCTGTAATATTTGTGGAATTTCAATATTAGATTTCAAGTTATTCTAAGAAATAGGGTGAATCAAGTATGTTTGTAAGGAGTTCAATATTTTATTGAAACGAAACCAATGTTGTTGTTGTTGTCTTGTCCAGTAGTGCAAGGAAAATTAAATTTGTCCAAAAGTATCTAAAACAGCTTTGGCCTCATCAATAATCTCTATGGAATAGAGGAGTGTTGAGCAGAGGAGCTCACTCGGTGGAGCCTGTAACCCCTAGAGGGAGCGCCCCCCGGTGGCGGATCGGTGAATGCCTCCATTGGTTTCCTTTGAGTGGTAGAAAGGAAATAAAATACCTTCCGTGGACCAACAGGCAGAAGTCCAACTTCTTAGGAAGCTCTGGCAATCCTCTTCCATGAGTAGTAGTGCAATTGAAACCAATATTTAAAGGAAAAGCCGATCGGCCTGTGTAGGGGCCAGAAAACTGGCCTTGCATCAGAAAGGTTCTGGGTTCGAATCCCAGGCAAGGCATGGATGTTTTTTCCTTCTCTCTACTATCTGTCCTTACTATGAGAGCAAAGTTGGCCCCCCTAATATGGTGTCCCTGAAAGAGTGGCCAACAAATTTGCCCTTTAGATGCGTGTATGAAGAAAGGTCATTCTCCAGGTGGGCATTGGAGAGAAAAAATATTTAAGTGAAAAATATACAAACCAATCAATGTTAGTTTAATAAGAACAAAGGAGGATATGAAATGATCTAAAACCAGTTTGTCCTGGGATGGAACATTAGACTGATCTTAACGAAGGGAGAAAAAAATCAAACTGCTTAAATAAAACCGCTTTTTGATACCTTTGTTACTGATTTTAATCCCTCATTCGTTATTCCGGATCCCAATAATTGCTCCCCTTATTTTGTGACCCCTTATATGCATAGACTATGCTTTACTTTATTATCTACAATGAGTTTCAAAAATACATCTTAATGGCGGTTATTACGGAACACCTGCATACAATACTATTTGCATACGTATTAAAATTTATTACTAGAATTGTTTTACCTCCATAATAACAGAATAGTACTATCTTCAAGGGAATGAGTGGTTTTTTCACTGATATCTTGTATCCCTTGCAGAAACTCATGGTATATTCGAGATTATCCTGTAACAAAAATACTTATTAATCTACAATAATTAGAGGAAAAGTTGGTGTGAGGGTGAATCAATCTGTGTGTCTGTAATTGTTTTTTCCTAGGGTCCTTAAATTTGGACAGCAATTTTTGTTCTCTACCCTAAAAATCTTTCAAAATTGAGTTATGTACAGTACGTAAAAAAACTAAACTGACTCTTCAGAATAACTTTTGATCGGGTGCAAAAGTCGATTTTTTAAAATTCGGTATGCTAGGAGCTATTCATCCGATTTCCCTCAAATTTTGTATTTTTCCAAGTAAAATTACATACTTTATAATGATGTAAAATATTTTTCGACTATTATTTAATAAAACATAAAAAATATTTGTTAAAAGTTATTTTTTTTATGTAACTATCCTTGGATAAATGTGTTTTATAATTGCTTGCAGAAATTTTTCAATTTGCTTCAAAAGTTCTCGAGATATGACAAAATACGCAAAAAATTAAACTAAAAATAAGGGGTTCAAATTTTGAATCACTCTCCTGAAGTATTGGGATCATAGTTCCCAGCAGGGCTCGAAAAAACTCAGAAATTTTACCCGTCCCCGAGGACGGCTTGTCCAACAATGTACCCGTCCTCCTTTGAAACTAACCCGTCGCTTCTAAATAAATAAAAATATAATTTTCTCTTATTTATTACAAACATTTATATAAATTGCACAATGAATTAGTAGTTACTAGGATTACAAATACTAG